TAAATTCCCTTTGGCATTCTCCGTCCTTAGAACATGACTTCTCCTTTGAAATCATTACATCGTAATATAAACTGGTAAATCGGCCTCTTCCACTAAATTGTAAACAACTTGAGGGTGAGAATTTTATCTTAAGTTAACCTTGTTGTCACGCAGTAGCTGATTAGATGATTGATAAATGAATGAAAAAAATAAACCAAAACCCACCAGGGAAGTTAATTGAAGACTGGTCACTGTAAGGCTAGGAGTACATTTCACTAAAGATTACACCTTAGCTTCACTGTGACCTTCATTAAAGAGATCACTAGCATTTCATTCTTCTAGAAAGGATTTTTGTGAACCTTGCCGTAAAACAAGTAACTCTAATATTTAATTCTTAGATACATGGCATCAACATGGGGGGGGGGTTTGTTGTTTGTAGTTCTGAAAAAGAGCTAAGTTTTATTCCAAAAGAATTCAAAGAAGTTAAAATTGAATTTGTTTTCTAAGGAATATTGGAAAAAGCTAATTAGCTCTTAATGGGAACAAGCCACTGGAGTATTACACTCTGAAAGCAAAGGTCTGGTGCAACCTGCTGTAAAATTAAGAAGCGAAGAAAGGACAGCTGCTGGGGCAGGGGAGTTAGTGACAGTCCTTCTGACAATAAAACTGGACCAATATGCAAACAATTTACTTTTTTGCTATAAACCCACTGATACACTAGATTCCCCAAGCAGCAGTGTTTAAAAAATAACGCTGTCAAAGCAGGTTTGATTGTGCTCTTGGTCCCTTATTTGAAGGGAACAATGGGACAATGACCAAACTTTCAAAGACTTCATTCTCCATTAAGAATCCTATAATATAAGAACAAAATAAAATAATGACTGTTTTACCTGACATAGGGTAGTTTAACGTTTCAACAGTTATAACTTGGCACTCTAAAATCTTAATAGATACACACTAAGTTAAGATGTATATTTTTCTGGCAAATATGATGCTGAAGGAGCCTATAAGTGAGTTAAATTTATAAGAAATGGTCCATTATTTTCTATTACTAGAAATAATTACTATTATTTTTCTATTACTAGAAATCCATTTAAGTCTAACAGCTCAGGTTGTCTATATTTGACACATACTTACAAACCAACCATTTTGCCTGAAAACATAACTACTAAATTACTGGCAAAGATCTCATAAGTTAATGAGTTACCGTTTTAGATACTTGACAAAATTTTGAGTTAGTGACATTCTTTGCAAGGTAAGATCTGAGTCTGTTTTAGTTACAGTTTAAAAAAAAAAAACAAAAAAACACGGCCCTCCCTGGTGGTGCAGCGGGTTAAAGCACAGCACTGAGAATCTAAAGCCGCCTCCGCATGAGTTCGATTCCCGCCTGCCCCGGAGGTGACCACATGGTGTGGCAGACCTCTCCTGACCCGCCCGCTGCTCCCCTGAGCAGTGTACTTTGTAGATCTGCCTGTTCTGTTCCCCACTCTGTCTCTGGTGAAGCCTCTCGCCGCCCCTGAGCCTCTGGCCTGTACCCCAGTTCTGTATGCACAAATAAATAAATCTTAAAAAAAAAAAAAAACAGAATATTCACAAAAATTGACCATATATTAAACACAAAAAAAAGCAAGTAATAAAAATTAAAAACAGTACAAAAAATATCATCTGGTCACAATGCAAAGCTAGAACTAAATAATGCAAACAATTTTCATCTATCAGAACAGCAAAGATCCAATACTTAGGTACACTACTTTCACCAGTCTTTGGCATAACTAAGCATTCATAGACAGTGCTGGTAGAGAGTGAGCTGGCACTGCCTAGACAGGGGCAATTCAGCAACACTCCGTTCATTAGAGTTAAAAATGCTTACTCCAGTAGTCCCCAAACTTGTTTACACATATGAAACTCCAAGGGAATGTCAACAATTCCTGATAACCTGTGTCAAATCCTAGGGATAAAGGCATCAACTAAATTATGATTCACCTGGGGTATGACCTGAGCTTTACATCTTTAAAAGGTCCCTAGGTGACAATGAAGTATACACAAGTTTAGGAAACAGTGGTCTACGTTCCCTTTGCTAAAACAATTCCCATCTCATTATTTATACTCTGCATTTACATTCACACGTGATAAATAGTCTGTCACCAATTGTAATTCTGTTTTATAATGCCAAAAGATTAGAAAAAGTGTCCATCTAAAGGATACATGTTAAGTCAACATGGAAAGTTCATTAAATGCAATGCTATGAATCTTTTACAGATGGTTTATGACTTATATCACAGTAAGGCTGTTATATACATAAAAAAGAGGTGTAGAATGCTATAAACAAAATGCTACATCTATGTCAAAAATAATACACACTGTTAGGAATGGCTACTTGTTTGGTGAAATTTTGCTTTTCATTGCATACTTTTGCAAAAAGTAATTCTTACATGTGATGTAATAAAAATAAAATAAAAATGATGACTGTGGGAAGCAACATCTTTATATTTAACATTAATGGAAACAGTAATGGAAACATTCGCATCTGGATAGTGGTGCTAGTGGCACAATTGTGTTTCTCAAAACTCAGATAACTATATACCTAAAAAAAGTGAATTGTAAACTATATCTCATTGAACCTGACTAGAAAAAAATGTTTTAAGTTTACATGACAACCAGACCTGTTATACTAGCTATTAGGGATGTAAACAGGCACAACCAATTTGGAAAACTACTTGGCAGTATCTGTTTGATCAGGGCAAGCATGAGCCCTGTGTGCCAGTATTTCCACTCCAGGATTGTGTCCATACGTGGATTCACCAAGGAGCATATCATGGCCGCACTGTTCCTGAGGCAAAAAAAGTAGGAATAATGCAGGCACTATTAAAAGTAAAATGGAATCATAGACGGTATTGTATCTGTGCCAAGGAAAGCCAGGCAGGAGGTAATTCAGTTTGAAAGGTGGCATTGCCATGACCAACCAAATAAAGGCAAAGAATCTGAGCCAAAAAATAAACAAACAAATAATAAAGGCCCTTAACATACAAAGAGATGTTCAGCCTCTCCTATGAATTAAATATGAAAGAATATTAGTGGTTAATGTAAGGAAAGTGGAAATTAAAATTATACTGAAGTAACATTACATAGGCAAAATTTCAAAGCTTTGCAACAAATTCTAATGGGATGACTGTAGAAAAACAGGCACCATTAAACATGTACCACTGTAAAAATGCCCTTATTGGACAATGGCCACAACTACAAAAAAGTTTCAAATGTACATATCCTTTGACATAAATATTAGGGATTTATCCTAGATGTACATGCAAATATACAAAATTACCTCTATTTAAGATTATTATCTGCAATATACCAGATTAGGAAAAACTCAAGTCTGTCTTTAGACACTAACAAGATAAAATATTATACATCGAAACAGCTGAAGATTTTCTAACTATAAATCACAATGCAGACACTCGATATATGATATATAAACAAATACTGGTGGTATGCACTAATGTCAAGGGTGAATAAAAATTATACCTGGCAAGCTATTTGTGTGAAAGGGAGAAAATTAATATTCACATTGTCTTCATTTGAAAACAAAATCAATATAAGTAGTTAACCATAAGAGAGTAAAGGGAAGATGAAGGAAATAACAGTGTGGAAAAAGGATAAAACAAAACTTCTCAGTATTTACTTTTCAAATATTTTTTAATATTTCAATGTTCCCACATACACAAAGAAATTTACTACTCATTCCAAAATGCTACCCTTAAAATTCTTTTTTGAAAATCCAACTAGTAAAATAAAAACAAACTCTAAAGTAAAACTACTTACTCCTTTTCCTTCCCCCATCTCTCCTTTCAAGGTGTGTGATACTTTGCAAGTTGCACACTAGTTGCTAGGACATGCGGGTCCAGAACCTCCTTTCAAGTGGGTCTGGGGGAAGAATGAGTGTGTGCTAACCGACAGGTCTTTAATGCTTTGCTCTTGACCCCTGGAGCCTCAGTCAAAACTGACATGGGGCGAAAAGGCCCAGAGATAAGACAGAATAATGAATCCAGAAAAAGATCCTACATACAGAAAAGGTGTGTTTAAGTGGGGGTGAAGGATGGCAAATAACTTCAGAAATTATTTGAGCATTATTGTACAGCAGTATTCAAAATTTATCTTGCTGTTTCAAGCAGTTACACAGTATTGCATATGATTAGAAATTTAATATTTTTCTCATTTTAAAAATTAGTTGCCCAGATACAAATATATTTTTCTCTAGAACACATACTAGAAGTAGTACTGATGGCTACTAGGGTTATCTACCCTCTACAACTTAATTAAAGATAGTTAATGAATGTGGAGGCTTAATGCTATCAGTAGATAAGCAAATGCAAAATCAAATCAAATCCCAGTTTCACCTATTATTATGGCAAAGGTACTACAAGTATATAGGTAAAAATGGACATGGAAAATCTCCAATTAACATTGAAATAAAAGCACAAATTTCAGAAATGTACATATACAATGATCATGTGTATAATTTTTTTAATTAACCCGCATGAAAGGGAGTTTTCAGTACATACAGACTGATAAAAAGTTCAGGAAGGACACACAGCAAAACAACAACTATTTCCCCTGGGGGGTAGTATCATCCATAAAGCCAAAGCTCTCCGCTATTTAATGCAAGTATGTCCATGAAAGAAAATGACAGGAAGTAATAGTCCACAAGTAACTTTACCAATGTAAACACTACTCAGTAAAACAATAAACAGACTTTTTTTAAGTATATGTGTTCATTTGCTCTGTTTAAGGAATTTTAAGGCATCATCAACTCCACAGTATGCAAATTCCAATAAGGGATTAAAAATATAAGAAGACCCAAAACAGCCTAAGTAACAGATACTACAGTACATAAAACATGAAAAATTGTCATTTTGGTAACTCAAATATGACTGTTTAAAAATCCAATCAGCTTTAACATTTCAAAATAATCATTTCATTTTATGGATAAGAAATAGAAAGAAGAGGTTTAAAAATCACTGTACCTGGTAAAATTTGGGTTGTGTTCAGTCATGGCCACTAGCAACTTCAGAGCATATGCTGGTACTGGGTCAGGTTCTGTGAGGATGTGCTCATATCTGAAATGATAAAGTGATTAAGTGGTTTTCCTCACTTCAACTCTCCCTTTGAAAAACAGAAACAATATACCATAAGAAACAAACATCTGGAAGGGAGGGAAAAGATAGTGAAATAAACATATGAGCTGTTAAGAACTGCTCAGGTAACTTCACTCCATGAAGCTTCAATGTTTCACCTGCCAGTGGAAGACAATCATGACCCTCTTCACAAGTGCTACTGTTGGAAAGAGTGAGTCAGATGATCCACATTAAAGGATCAGTACTGACCTGTGAGTGTAGAAGGAGACTTATCAACCCCAGGCATTAGTGTTGGGAGGTCCCAGACCACTTCTACATCCAATGATGTTCCAGCAGCCTTACAAGACTCTCATATAGTTGTACTTGGGGTGAGATTCAGGATAGTAACACAGTAAGGACATGCAGCACAATCGTAAGGGACAAGGATACAGCAGAGCCTGGAAGATTCCATTCATAGGCTTCCTTACACTCTGCTCTCCCTCTCCTAAAAGTGGCCATACATACCACACACTCTTCCTCAGCCACAAAAAAATGCAGCCTATCGGAGGTGCTTCTGCCTGAGGAAGCCATTAGACACTCAAATGACCAACGTTTTTATTGGAGGCTGATCACATAGGTGACCTCTGTATAATATGTATCAAAGCCCCAGTTTCCCTGATAGGAAGCAGATGTTTGGCAAAATCCATACCATTAGCACAAATGAGCTAGCTACCCTTCTCTGTTCAGTGTTGACTAGCTCTCTTAGAGCCAGTTCTGAGATGCCAGCAAGGGCTAACCTTGCAAGTAGCCTCAGAGTAGATCTGCTGTGTGAACTCTTTCCAGCAAAGCCTTCTTTGCATCAACTGTTTAAAATCTAAAATGAAAATTACCAGCACAGAGAATAAAATTCTCAAAAGGTTTTCATTACAAATTTCTACAACCAAGTTCAGGCTGGGTTCCCTGATATTTGCTAGGTAGGGGCTGTTTATAAATGGCGTCTTTTCTTTTTAGGTTTGGCAACTTGAGATACCATACAATACCATGTGCCTGCTCAAACAGTGTGAGCTGAAGGAATAAAAGAACAAGGAAACCAACTGGTCAACTTCATGACTTAACTTCATGACTTTAGCTTTCAAGCCACCAACAGCTAAAGAGGGAGAAAAGTATCTTCAGAAATCCAAAACGCATATTTTAAAATGCATGGTGTGAAGCAAAGGCACTCCACCTAGAGAACAGATCCCAGGTTCTTTCTCAGAGCCTGCTCACTCTCATTTTGGAAATTATTATAGAATGAGCTTAACACCATTAGAAGGTGCCCCCGAAAGAAAGGAGAGAAACTATTACAGAAAGGCAACCTAAAAAAGTAGGACTTGAAAGGCCAATGGAAAGAAGCAAGTAGGGAACTCCAAGCAGGCAGTGTGTAACATGAGAAGCTACTCAGACCTGGGTGGGGGTCCCAAGGCCCCTGCCACATAATGTTCAACACAGGAACACTGAGTCAAGAGAATTTAAACTGAGTGGAGTGCTCTATTTAAGGAGCTAGGAAAGTGGCTGGTTTCCAGTGGTTTTCTGATAAAATAGCTTTAAATTACAGCAATTAAAATTTTTGCCCCTTTATGACAAAGGCAAAATAATCATCACTCATAATAAAATCATAAGTAAAACAGTAATAAATCACAGAGAACAGTATGACAACTGAGGATAAGTAACTGCAAAATTGAAATAATCAAATTTAAGAAAACAACACATTTTATATGAATAAAATAAAAATAAAAATCGAGGAAACATCTTTCGAGGTGATAAAAATGTATTTGTAAAAGTAAACCCAATTCAGGCCCTCCCTGGTGGCGCAGCGGGTTGAAGCACAGCACTGAGAATCTAAAGCCGCTTCCTCATGAGTTTGATTCCCGCCTGCCCCGGAGGTGACCACATGGCGTGGCAGACCTCTACTGACCCGCCCGCTGCTCCCCTCAGCAGTGTACTTTGTCCATCTGCCTGTTCTGCTCCCCACTCTGTCTCTGGTGAAGCCTCTCGCCGCCCCTGAGCCTCTGGCCTGTACCCCAGTTCTGTATGCACAAGTGAATAAATCTTTAAAAAAAAAAAAAAGTAAACCCAATTCAAAATTTTGTTTAAAGGAACAACTCAGCATAAAACAGTGAAATAATTAGTTCCTCTAATAGTTGTATAAAATGAAAAGCTCTTATTCAGAATTCAGGGTACCCTAAGGTTCACTGATTTGCTGTAATGATGACTCACAGCACTCAAGTAGTTGTCGTACTCCCAATTATGGTTTATTACAGTGAAAGGAAAATTGATTAAAATCGGCAAAGATGAAAGGCACATGGGCAGAACTCAAGACCAGTCACAGGCCTCTAGCTGTCCTCTCCCTGTGGCCTGTATGGATAGAACACAGTTCTCCAGAGACAATGTATGAAGTACTACCATCCAGGGATGCTTACCTTACTAGAGGCAGTCACACAGCTATGGAGTGCCTGCGTGCCTACCTTAGGACTCAGTCTCCAACTCCTGCACAGGTCAGGCTGACACTTAACGATCTAAGATACCCAGCACAGTTTACATTGCTAGCCCAGGTTAGCCAGCTAAAGGCTCCAGGTCTATAGAGATTCTTATCGGGCTGGATATTCCAAAAGCTCAAAAGTTATCTTTCTAGATGTGGTCAAAGGCCAGTCTGCTTGTAACATGCAGGACTCACTGAACCCCCCACACTTCCTGAGTTAACCCTTTACAGCATTGATTCTTAAAGGGGAAACTGAAGCATTAAAGTCACATCTGCTTTTAACAAATATTTGGAAATTATGAGCTAGGCAATCTCAAAAGGAGAAGAGAGAAACTTCTGATGAGTCATTCACACACCTCAGATAACTAGTACTTTCCACCCCTACTCCCAGACTTAGCTGAATCATAGAGAAAAAAGCCACACACTTCATTTGTGAGCTTACTCAAAAGCTCATGTAAAAAGAGAAAACACTGGACACATTTAAAATATGCTTGAGAAAAAATCTCAGTAGGACTGCAAAGCACAAAATATTTTAAATAAACTAACTATGTTTATTAGAAAAATAGTAATGAAGCTTTACTAAAATACAATTAGCTTGAGATTGTTTGGGGCTATTGAATCTGGAAACAGGAGGGAAGGTTGAAGCTGACACCAGCATGTGAATGAGAATTTTCCCCTAGAACAGTTTTGGTTTCCTTTCCTTGAAAAAGAGAACAATAGACTTTATAAAGGAGATGGTAGGAATACAAGCATTGAATATATTGAATAGATTTTGGTTTAACCAATGTTAGGTCAAATTGTAGCAATCAGCCAAAGCGATGCTGTGATTTTTTTTTTAATGTATTTAACTTTTTTTTAAAGATTTATTTATTTATGCATACAGAACCTGGGTACAGGCCAGAGGTGCAGAGATGGTGAGAGGATTCACTAGAGACAGAGTGAGGAGCAGGACAGGCAGACTGACAGAGTACACTGCTGAGGGGAGTAGCAGGCGAGACAGGAAAGGTCTGCTGCACCATGTGGGTCACCTCCAGGACTGGGATTGAACTCGTACTGAAAGCAGCTGTGGCTAGTTTGCAGCGCTGCATCCTAAACCACTGCACCACCAGGGAGGGTCTAAACTTATATTATAAAGAGAGATCAAATAGCTGAGCTAATAGTAACTGGATCTGGTACGCCTCTGAAGGCAATTTGACAGCAAAAAAAAACAGGAAGGCTGACTCCTTTGAAGCCTTGGAAAATAGTGACCAGTGAGAGGCTGGAACATAGTGACAACCAGGAGCTCTAGGGGAGCAGTCCTCATAATCTGAGACTGACCATGGACTTGGGTTGCCATCAATATAACAACAAATTCTTCAGATGGTGTCCCAAGACCCCGCTCTTCAGAGCCCAAAGTAACTAGAACCCCAAGAGAACAGCCATTGGTAGCAAATTCATATCTATCCCAAAAGAAAGAAAACTTCTAAGAAAAAAAATTATATATTCAGGGATCTAAGAGATGGACTCTTCCCTATCTTCTCAAGTGTCTGGTGTAACCAGTGTCTAATTAGGTAAAAAGGCTAATCAGGCTATGTAAATAACCACAGATGAACGTGAGATGCTTTCTGAGCAATGTACCAAAGAACTGGCCAAGTGGAAAGAAAACCTGTTTGCTGGGGAGGAGGGAGGCATGGGATCATAAAGAGGACATTCCACCGGGGTTAAGCCACAAGCTCACATATCATGTCTCTATGAAATGTATTCCAACAATTTGAGGTGAAAGAGTAATATCATAATACCCAAAGAACTTTAATGAGAACTATTATGAGGAAGATACTACACTATAATAAGCACAGGATGGAATGAAGACCATACATGTAAGTAAATGGGGAAAAAAGGTTACACTTGATCCTGGATGATACAGAGTAATCCTAGAAACAGAATTAGAATGGTCAGGCTATACCTTATAAAAATATATCACCAGTAAATTCAAATTTAAGTAAAAACTTTAAATTCATTAGTCTGCCTATTTAATTATGACAATGAGAAGTAAATCAGAACAATAGAGCCTTCAGGGTCTGTCTCTAGAGTTAAGGGTTTTTAAATATCAACTAAATGACAAAGACTCCATGAACAAGAAAAAATATTTACAGAAAAATTGGTTAACAGTTAATATTTATAATTATATATTGATTTATTACAAACCAATAAACCTATCACCAGAAAAATGGACAAACTCTACCCAAGAATGTAATGACCAAGAAATAAAGGGGAAATATGGTCAACTTGATTAGTATCTAGAGGAATACAAGTGAAAACCAATACAGCAAAATAAGTTTAATCACAGGAAGCTGGTAGTATCAGCATTCATCACTTTGAAAACAATGTGCCAGAACATATCAAATGCCTTTAAAATACATATCATTTTTAACACAGCGACCCTACCCCTTCCTTTATCCTTCCTCACCTTTTTACTTATGTAATTGATTCACCATGTTTCTATGTA